TCACCAGCATATCCACCACCTAGTTGCCACATCGCCAACATTTTGCCATATTTGCTTCGTCTCTTCTTTTCTCTCGCTGGGATATCATATACGTATACCCATATACGTATAAATATACACACCTATGTGGCTAGATGCACACATGTACATATGCATACACACACGCACACACACATATATACATGCACACACCTACACATATGCACATACACCCATATACGCATACACATGCACATCATATACATATATGCAATACACATGCACATATACATCTATGCACATATTTGTCTGTATACACACACACATTTCCCCTGAACTTGAACTCTTTGGACATAAGCTCATCATGAGCTTCATCCCAAAATACTTCAGCGTGCATCTCTTAAGAACAAGGACATTCTCCTACATACTGGTTTTTTTTTCATTCTTCTTCCCAAAGCCCCCCAGAACACAGTTGTATATTTTTAGCTGTGGGTCCTTCTAGTAGTGGCATGTGGGACGCCACCTCTGCGTGGCCTGATGAGTGGTGCCATGTCTGCACCCAGGATCCGAACCGGCGAAACCCTGGGCCTCCGAAGAGGAGAGCGCGAAGTTCTTAACCATTTGGCCACGGGGCCGGCCCCTCCTATATGCTCTTAAGGTCTTTATTACACCTAAGAAAAGCAACAATAAAGCCCTAATATCATCTAATATTTGAATTTCACTATTTGTTCCCAAAAGGTCTTTTATAGTTGTTTTTCAAAACGAGGATTCAAAGTCGACATATTGCACATATTTGGCTGTTACCTCTCTTAAATCTCTTTTAATCTTAAGTTTCCTATCCACCTTTTTTTTTTTAACGACACTGGCTTTTGTTGGTCCCGGGACAGTTGTCTCGTAGAAGGTCTGGAAGCTCCCACCTGCTGGAGCTCTCTGACTGTCTTTTCCTGGGTCACCCTCTTCTGCTTCCAGCCTCTCTACTTCTCGTGAACCGGAAGTTAGGGCTAGAGACTTGGTAAGATTCTGGGTAGCATTTTTTTTTTAAATTTTATCTCTTTAGAGCAGTTTTAGGTTCACAGCAAAATTGAGAGGAAGGTACAGAGAATTCCCGTGTATCCCCTGTCTCCACACGTGCATGGGCTCCCCCATGAGCAATGTCCCCCGCCAGAATGGTTCATTTGTTACACATGGTGAAGCTACACTGACACATTGTAATCACCCAGAGCCCATAATTTACATTAGGGTTCACTGGTGGGGTCATGCATTCTGTGGGTTTGGATAAAAATACAACGACGTGCATCCACCATTATAATATCATACAGAGTAGTTTCTCTGCCTTAAATCCTCTGTGCTCGGTCTGCTCATCCCTCCCTCCGCCAGTTCCTGGTAACCGCTGACTTTTTTTACTGACTTCATAGTTTTACCTTTTCCAGAATGTCATCTAGTTGGAATCATACAGTATGTAGCCTTTTCAGATTGGCTTCTTTCACTTGGTAATATGGATTTAAGTTTCCCCCATGTCTTTTCATGGCTTCATAGCTCTTTTCTTTTCAGTGCTGAGTAGTGGTCCACTGTCTGATGTCCCACAGTTCATTTGTCCGTTCACCTACCGAAGGACGTCTTGTTTGCTTCCATGTTTCGGCAATTATAAACAGAGGCCTTTGTGTGGATGTAAGTTTCCAGCTCCTTTGGGTAAATACCAAGGAGCATGATCACCAGATCATATGATGAGAGTATGTTTAGCTTTGTAAGAAACCGCTAAAGTGTCTTCCAAAGTGGCGACACCACTTTGCACTCCCGCCAGCAGTGACTGAGGGCTGCTGTGGCTCCACGTCGTCGCCAGCACTTGGAGTTGTCAGTGTTCCAGATTTTACCTGTTCTAGCCGGTGTGTAGTGGTCTCTTGTTGTTGTTAATTTGTATTTCCTGATGACATATGACGTAGAGCATCTTTTTTTTTTTTTTTATGAAGACCGGCCCTGAGCTAACATCCGTGCCCCTCTTCCTCTACTTTGTATGTGGGATGCCTACCACAGCACGGCTTGCCAAGTGGTGCATAGGTCCGCACCAGGGACCCGAACGGGCAAACTCCGGGCTGCCAAAGTGGAACGTGCAAATTTAACTGCTGCACCACCAGGCTGGCCCCCCATCTTTTTATATGCTTTTGTTTTCTTTTTTATTGGTAATATACACACAACAAAGAATTTACCATTTTAACCATTTGTGTGAGGAAGATTCACCCTGAGCTAATATCTGTTGCCAATCTTCTTCTTTTTTTACTTGAGGAAGATTCGCCCTGAGCTAACATCCATGCCCACCTTCCTCTATTTCGTATGTGGGATCCTCCACAGCATGGCTGATCAGTGGAGTAGGTCCGTTCCTGAGATCCAAACTTGCAAACCTGGTCCGCCAAAGAGGAGTGCATGGAAATTTAACCACTCAGCCCTGGGGCTGGCCCCCATTTTAACCATTTTTAAGCGTACAGTTCAGTGGCATTAAACACAGTCACATTGTTGTGCAGTCATCATCACCATGCATCTCCGGAACTTTTCCATCCTCCCCAGTTTAACTTCTGTCCCCATTAACTCCCCATTCCCTCCTCCCCAGCCCCTGGCAACCATCCTTCCGCTTTCTGTCTCTGTGAATTTCACTGCTAGGAACCTCGTAGAAGTGGGATCACACAGTATTTGTCCTTCTGTGCCTGGCTTTGGGTCCCTCCTTTGGACAAGAGGTCTTCCGAGGCGATGCTGTGTGCTTCTGATGCAACCCCAACAGGAGCTCATGGGAATCGCAGCTGAGTGGGCTCCTCAGGTCCCGCCTGCCCACCTCTCCCCTGGCCCCCCACCCTCCACCGCAGCTGCTGGCCGCCTCACCAGCCCGCAGGGCCTATGCACCGGCTCTTTCCTGCCTGCAGGCTCCTTGGCATCCTCCAGATTTCAGCTTGAACGTCACGCCCTCTCAGAAGCCTTCTCTGACTCCCCAGCACTGCTTTCCTACAGTCGCTGCTTTTCTCTGTTCCCTTTCTTCCCGGCACTCACCCCGACCTGGCGGTACCTCCTTGGATATTGGTTTGCCTGTTTATTGTCTGTCTCCAAGGTCAACTCCATGAGAGCGGGGAGCTGTCCACCGCTGTGTCCCCAGGCCCTGGCAGCGTTCCTGGCACCTGGCAGGTGCTGGTATTCCGCTTGCTGCTGTAACAAATGACCATAGACTTAGAGGCTTAAAACAACGCGAATTTATTCTCTCACAGTTCGGGGGGTCCTAAGTCCTACGCCAGTCTCAGTGGACGAAGGTCAGGAGTCAGCGGGGCTGGGCTCCTTCTGGAAGCTGGAAGGGAGAATCTGTGTCCTCGCTTTTTCCAGCATCTAGAGGCTGCCCGCATTGCATCTGACCCCTGCTCCCCTCTTACGCTGACCCGGCGATTACATTGGACTCATCCAGATAATCCAGGAAATCCCCCATTTTAAGATCCTTAAACACATCTGCAAAGTCCTCTTTACCATGTAAGGTCACATTTCAAGAATTAGGACGTGGACATTTTGGGGGGGCCATTATTCTGTCTACCAAAGGGCTCATAAATATTTGTTGAAGGAGTGAATAAAGGAATGGATGGGTCCTTTTACAGATGGGGTGCAGAGTCCTAAATTCCGGGGCCGGCTCAGCCACTTCCTGGCTGTATGACCTTGGGCAACGCCCTCTTCCTCCGAACCTCAGTTTCCTCCTTCCTCAGATGTGTTCTGACACCCACCGCATCCCCCAGTCTTGGTAGACACTGGGGGAGCCGAGACAAAGGAGAGGGGACCCCTGCCTTCCAAGAGCCTGGAGTTGGGCTTCTGGGCAGGGGTCTGAGAAAGAGAAAATCTGACACGGTCTGCTCAGGTCCACGTTCTAGCTCATCTCAGAATACTTTGAAGTCCTGAGGGGGTGTGCTTACCTAGAAGGTGACATTTCAAACAGTTCTTGATGCTCGAGTAGGAGTTTATTCAGAGGAGAAGTGGAAAGGGCATCAGGGTCAGGGACGGGCTGCAGACCTCTTTGAGGAACTGTGAGGTGTGTGGTGAGATCCCTCAGGCGAGGGAGGCCGCGGGAGTGGGATGTCTGGAACTGAGGCCTTGAAGGCCGCAATCAGGAGCGTGAGCTCTGTCCTCAGGTCAAGGGGCCACAGCTGGGCTCTGGAGCAGGAAAGAGGCGTGCGCAGCTGTGCATCCGGGCCCCTCGCTCTGGCCGCTGCCGTGCGGGGAGGGGGTTGGGGCCAGCATCTGGGCCTGAGGTGGAGGCGGCCTGGACCTGGCGGGGACAACGGGGTGGAGAGAAGGGCATGGGTCCGAGAGAGAGTTAGGAAGGAGAATCAGTGGCCCATGGCCATAGATCGAGAAGGGGGTGGATGAGGAAGAGCGTGGAGACGGCTGGGGAGGAAGAACAGGCAAGATGGACACGTGTGGAAGCTCTTTGCAACTGTTGAGCGCACCACATCCGACCCAAGCTGGGACTTGGTGAGAAGCCTTGAAGATGCTGGTGTTGGGGCAGAGAAACCAGCCCAAGCGATTCGCAGGCTCTCCCTCTGAAGAAAGACTGGTGATGAAGATCACCAAGGGTGCAGGTGGGCTTCAGATCCAGGCGAGGGCTTCGGGCTGCACAGCTCCACATTCTCTCTTGATTTACAAGCAACCACAGACGTAAATAAGTAGGGCTGCAAACCCATCCCATCCGTCTCCAGATGGGCAAACCAAGGCCCAGAGACATCCAGTGACACGGCCAAGGCTACACAGCAGGTGGACCCTGGGGAGCACAGGCCTCCAAGAGGCCCAGCTCAAGGGGGATTTTACAAATCTCTTGAGCCTCAGAGCGGGGGTCCCCGCTGAGCAGTTCCCGCCGCAGAGAATTTCCTCTGCTTTAGAGGAAGCGGAGTTCTTCTTTCACAATGTGAATGTCAGAGATTCTGGGCTCACCCATGACTAAGAATGTCTGAGGCTTGTGGGTGGAGCCAGCGCTTAAATACCACACCTTCCTGTCTTCCAGCGACTGTAGACACCTGGGCTGGGACGCACAGGACAGGAGCATGGCCAGCCTACAGACCCCGCTCCTGGCTGCCCTCATCCTCCTCGCTATGGTAATTCCAGCAACCCAGGCAGGTGAGGCTGGGGAACGGGAGGGCTCCCTGCAGAGGCCAGGGTCAGACACTGGGCTGTCTTCCTCATGTAGTGGCAAGAGCACTGGACTGAGAGCAGAACACCTCAGTCGGCTGCTGGCTCTTGGGCTAGTCCCATTGCTTCTCTGGACCTCAGTTTACTCATCTGTTAAATGGGTAGTCTTGAAGGCTTAGAGACTAGGCTCTGTCTCAGCGGGTTAGGGGATGTGATGGGCCCGGCCCTGGGTCCTCTACTCCAGAAGGAGCTGCTGGGGGGCCCGGCTGGGGTGGGAAAAGGCAGGAGCTAGGGTAAGGGGTATTCCCTTGGCAAGCTGGTCCTGCCCTCCCGCCACCCTATTTTTGCTCCAGAACTTGCTCTCAACTCTGGACTCCTGACTTCTCTTCTCCATCCCAAGGTGAACTCCCCTGCCCTTGTGTGGGGCCAGGGAACGAGCACTGGACTGAGAGTCAGGCAGCTAGGAACAAGAATTGCTCAGTTATTGGGTTTCCTGAGAGATTTCCCCACATTAAAGGCCCCATAGATTCCATACTATTATTACCCACTTGGTCAGAGGAGGACATTGGGCCTCAGAGATATTAAATGACTTGCCTAAGGGGACTTGGCAACTTAAGGCAGAGTGGAACTCAAACCCGGGTCTGCGTGACTGGACTCTGCCTGAGCCCTTGTCCTCACTCTCCGGAGTGCTGTGTGACTCTGGGCAAATCCGCCCCCTCTCTGAACCTCCACCTCGCAGTTTGCACCATGGAGGGCGTTAGAGTAGACGTGAGCTGAAGCAGACTTCTTGAATTACCTGGGCCCTCGTCAAAATGCACCTCTGATTCAGCAGGACGGCCGGGCACCAAGCATTTCTGACAAGCTCCCCGGTGATGCTGACGCTGCCGGTCCACGGACGGCATCTTAAATAGGCTCCTTCCTGTTCAGAGTCTCTGGGTCCTGTCTGGATGCTTTGGGCGTCCTTGATGCTCAGTCATCCTGATTCCCTCCCCCTTGAGCTGATCGGCCCAGAGTGTAGACATTAGGCCCTTAGTGGCTTCGCAGAGGCCTCGAGAGCAGGAACCTCGAGGCCCAGAATCCTCTGGACACCGACCTCCCACATGAGAACAGAGAAGCTGGGTCAGAGGTTGTGGCTGCGGGAGAACTCTGTGGCCCAGCGTGTGACTCCTCTGAGGCCCCTGCCCCTAGGCCCTTACGGCGCCAATGTGGAGGACAGCGTCTGCTGCCGCGACCACATCCGTCACCCCGTGCCCGGGCGAATGGTGAAATACTACTATTGGACTTCAGACTCCTGCCGGAGACCTGGCGTCGTGTGAGTGGGGAGCTTGGAGGCGGGGCCTTGGGGAGCCTGCTGGCGTGGCCCAGGAGGCCCGGGTGCAGGGGAGCGGGGCCCACCCAGGGATGGGGAGAAAGCAGCGGGGTGCCTGGAAAGCTTGGCTGCAACAGAGGACTCAGCCCAGGCTTGGGGATGCCAAGAAAAAAATCACGTGGTCATTCAACGAATATTATTGGGCGCCTTCTGTGTACCAGGTTCCAAGGATGCAGGGCCGAATGAACAGGGGGCTGCCCCAGGCAGGCAGGGCAGTACCGGCAGTGCAGGCCACAGAGTGGAGGCTACAGGGTGTGGGCAGCGTGCCCGGTGCAGCTGAGTCAGCACAGATGCTCCCATCAGAAGCATCTGATGCTCCCCCAGGCCCTGGGAGCTATTCGAGGCAGCCCTTCTTCCCAGAAGAGGAGCATGAGGAGCTGACGCTTAGAGAGGGCTTCCCCGGGCCAGGCCCTGTCCTGAGCGTTACTGGGTTGCCTCCCTTAACCCTCATGCCAGCCCACGAGGAGCTGGGGTGACTTGCAATTGATAGATGGAGAAACAGCCTGCGAGGGGCAGTGACTTGCTCGAGGTTGTGCAGGCTGGAAGCAGGACCCTGGGTCCTCGTTCAGGGCTTCCTCCTTTGCTTCTCGTTTTCCTTTGTTTCTTTCTCTCGGCTTCTTGGCTTCCTTTTCCTTGGCCTGGAGCCCGCGCCTGCCCGTGCCCCTGCCCCTGGCTGGGTGACTGGGCTCTCCTCTGGGGAAGCCCCTCCCGCACCTGCTCCCGCTCCTCTGGGCCCGCGGCCTGCGGGACCACACACTGGCTGCTGTTTGGGCCTGGGGACTCATGACGCCCTTTGGGGCCCTGTCGTCTTCTCATCTTCCTCCTCCTCACCCATCTTCCTTCTCTCAGAGGGGCCTGCAGGTGACTAGACAAGGAGGCTGAAGCAGGAAGCCCTCCCAGGGTTCTTGTCACTCCAACTCTGAGCTCAGATTCCCCCCCAGTATAGCAGAGTGATCATTTAATATTTATCAAACACGGAAAAAGTGCTTGCTAAGTGCCAGGCACTGTTCTAAACGCTTTATAAATATTAACTCATTTAATCCTTGAAACAACCCTGTGTGGTAGGTACTGTTATGATCCCCTTTTCGCAGGTGATGAAATGGTCACAGAGAGGCTGTGGGGCCTCTTGAGCATCACAGGGCACAGCAGTAGTTAGTGGAAGATGTGATGCTCAGTGCCTGGCATAGAATAGATGTTCAATAAAAGACAGCACACGTGTGATTATTGGAATTGGAGCCAGAAGGGGCTCCAGAAAGAATGTGGCTTGACAATGGGGAGATCGAGGCTCAGAGAGGGGCTGAGCCTTGTCCAGTGTCACCCAGCGGCCAGGGCAGGCTGCCCATCTCTGCCTTCTTTGTCCTTTGTGTTCGTTGGTGGTCTGTGGGGCAGGGCCAGGTCAGGGAGGTAAGGGGAGCCAGGAGCTCTCAGGCCCCACGGACAGGCTCTTGAGAGGCAGGAAGGGAGGCTGGGGCTGGGGGACGTCTCTGGTCCCTGGCCAGCTTTGAGCCCACGCCTGCCGGCGACAGCTGAGGCTGAGTGCCCCAGGGCGTGGCTGGTGCTGGCTGCAGCCTGGGCAAGTGGCTTTCCCTCTTTGGGCCTCACTTTCCTCAACTATGAAATGGATAGACTAACAGGGCCTCATAGGGTTGTTGTAAGGATTTATTGAGAAAATCCGTGCTAAAAGTTCAGGCCGGCTCGTGGCACGATTCTATAGCGCCCACTATCCGCTGTGGACTGTTCTGAGCGCTTCGGTTTATATTAACACATCAAATTTTCATCACAATCCAATGAAGCTGGACCACGATTATCATCCCCATTTTACAGATGTGGAAACTGAGGCTCAGAGAAGTTAAGGGCCTTCTTAACTTGTTCTGCTGACAAGTGGCAGAGCTGGGATTTTAACCTGGACCATCTGGCTCTGAAGAGCACGTTCCTGCCCACTGCCCAGTACTCTCTCCTAAGGCCATGTCCGCATTCCTTATGAGATTCTCGGGCATTCTGTTCCTTGGCATGACCTGGTACCCAGGGCTGGGGCTGAGGGTCCGAGGGCCCCAGAGGTCCTTGCTGCTCATCTCCCTCTCTCCCCCTTAGGAAATATGTTTGCATGCAGCAGGGGCCTCATACACTTTGAACCAATCTGTACAGTAGGCACCGCTGCATCCCGTGGGAGACCCATCCATGCTAAGCGTCCGTGCGGGCACGGGGGTCCTCGCTGCAGGCTAACACTGCCCATTATCTCCCTGGCGTCCCCTTGCAGCCTGCTAACCCTCAGGGGCCGGGAGATCTGCGCTGACCCCAGACAGCCCTGGGTGAAGAAGATTCTCCAGAAGCTGGACAAGTGAGGAAGGGCCCTGCCTGACCACACGGCCTTGGACCCCCCAGGAAGACTAACGGTCCTGCCTCCCTGCCGTCGCAGCCGCTCCGCAGCACGAGCCCGTGCCAGGGCCTCTCCCTGCAGCCCCTGCTCTCCGTCCCGGCAACTGTCACCTCAGCCCAGCCTCCACACTGTCCCTTGCATCTCCCCTTCCCCTCCAGCCCATCCTCTGTCCCAGGTAGTCCGAGGGTCCACAGTCCTGCTCAGTCACTCCCCTACTCCAACCCTTCCATGGCTCCCATTGCCCTAGGCTGAGGTCAGAGCCCCTGAGCCTGGCAGCCCTGCCCCCTGGATCTGGGCCCCATCCCTGTCTCTGGCCCTCCCCCATTTCCTTTCATACATACTGGACTCCAACTCCCTGTTCTCCAAACCCGCACATTTCCACTTCTGGGTCTTCTCCCAGGCTGCCCCTGACACCTGGAATGTTCCCTGTCACCCACACAGGTCCAACCCCACCAGCCCTCCAAGGCATGGCTCTGCCTAAGCGGCCAGTGGTTGAGTTTCTTTTTGTTTTTCTTTCCTTCTTCCTTTCTTTTTTTTTTTTTTTTGAGGGAGATTAGCCCTGAGCTAACATCTGCTGCCAATCCTCCTCTTTTTTGCTGAGGAAGACTGGCCCTGAGCTAACATCCATGCCCATCTTCCTCTACTTTATATGTGGGACGCCTGCCACAGCATGGCTTGACAAGCGGTGCCATGTCCGCACCCGGGATCCGGGCTGGCGAACCCCGAGCCGTCGAAGCGGAACATGCGAACTTAACCACTACATCCTCGGGCCAGCCCCTGAGTTTCATTTTTCAGACTTATCCTGGCCCTCCATCTCCTCTTAAAAGCCCTGATCACAGTCTGCTCAGAATTTCTGGGACTTGGGCCTTGTCCTCCAGCCCCACTGGCTGGACCAAAGTTCACATCTGAATTACTTTTGGCTCCTGGCCTCCAGCACAGAGCACAGGGTCTGGCTCAGAATCAGGCCTCAACAATAAAAGTATGTCCCTCTCCCACCCCCCAGTGGCCCTCACACATCGACAGAGACCCAAGGTCATCTCGAGAAGAACCATCTGGGTCAATGTAAAACCTCAGATTTGCCCAGATTCACCTTTTTACCCCATTTTTCTTACATTTTAGGTCTCTTTACCCGTCTTACCTCCCTCAGGTCTTTATTTCTCCTCCAACCTCCAACAGCCTTGACTTCTTCAGAGTCCCCCACTTCCTCTTCCTCCTTCCCCCAAAAGCTCAGAACCAAGTTCATGCTATGGTGTGAATGACTACCCTTGGCTTGGTATTACAAACTCTAGTTATATTTGTATATGAAAAGAGGGCTAATGCTTAAGAGGCCAAATGGATGAGTGGAGGAATTTTAGGAGCTGTGTGGAAGGGGGCCAAGGCGGAACTTTCCTGGCCCTGGGAGTGAGTGTGGGGGTGTGGTTAAATGAAGGAAGATGGAGGTTGTTCTCAGGGGTCTGGGACCAGGCTAAGGACTGGGGTTTGGGACTTATCTGCACCTCCTTGGGGACAACATATTCCCCAGGTAAAGGAAATAAGCTGTACATGTGCTTGTTCCTTTCTGAGCCTGGTGCAAGTCAGTGGGGTGGTTATTGCTGTGTGACCCTGAGGAGACCATCTAATCTCTCTGAGCCTCCTCTGAGAATGAGAATACCCACCTTACAGGGTTGCTGTGGGCTCGGGTCCAAGGCACAGGGAATGACTTTGCCAGCCCTAAAAGTCAGCGTCTTCCAAGACCTGCGTCCCCCTGGAGGCCAGCACCACCTGCCTACCATGGGTGCTGGAAATGACCTGCCTGCTGCCCGCACACAGGCCCTCAAGCATCCCACGGTCCCCCTCCCCTCCTGTCTTGCGCTTGCCCCACAGGCCTCCTTCTGGAAAATAAATCCTCTGCAACAGGGTCTGCTTCGTTCCTTGGCGTTTGCTGTCCTGTGAGGTAGGGCAGGGGGCACCGCGGCCCCCTGTCTCTGAGTGGGGAAGCCCTTGACACTGACGTGTGAGCTGGGGAGCCAGGACCAGATGTGAGGACCTGGGAAGGACCTGCGTAGGAGCCAACAGGGGACCCCAGGCGTTTGCCCACCAGGCCTGGCCCACCCAGGGACCACCTGTCAGGAGGATCTGATGAAATCATTCATTCTGTCCCCAAGTCTAGAGCTGTACACAGCATATTCATTCATTGAGTCAGTCAGTCGATCAGTCAGTCAATCAATAACCTCAACCCTCCCCTTTCAAGGATGGACACGGAGGCAGAGGAGAGGTGCCAGTCAGGAAAGCTACTTTCTGAAACAAACATCTCCTAGGTCTCAGGGGCGCCACTCCACAGGAGTTTTGCTCTTCTCACATGAAGTCTGACGGGGCATCCCTGGTCTGCCGGCACCGTCCACACCGTCATTCAGGGACCAGGCTCCTTCCTCCTCGGGGCCCCGCCCTCCTCTGGGACCCAGACTCAACTCCATCATCCAGCAGACGGGGAGAGAGGACGTGGGCTTCTGGGACGGCTTTGTGAGTGGGCCAGGAGGCAGGGCTCCTCGCTTCTGCCCTCATGCCACGGGTGGGACTGCCACGTGGCCATCCTGACCACAGGTGGCACTGGGCAGCACAGCTAGGCTGTGCATCCAGGAGGTGGAGGGAGTAGGCTGGGGGAGCAGCTGGCTCGTCTGGTGCTGAACTCCCCGGGGCCCTCAAATGGGCCTGCTTGCCTGGGGCCAGACCAGCTGGGTCTGCCAGAAAAACGGAAGGACTCCTCTGCCCTCAGGGCCTCTTCACGACTTCCTTGGGGTGAACACGCTCCGTGGACATCTTAGCACAAGTGGCCTTTGCTCTTCGTCAGATCTGGCTCTCGCAGCGGGATTTCCAGGGCTGTAGCTCCAGACACCCAGAGCGCTTGTCTGGGAGGCGGGGAGCAGCATCGGGCCTCCCGACATGGATGCAGACAGACGCAGGAGCTCCCACTGGCTGGGTGTCTGGATCAAGGTGCTTGGTCCTTCTGAGGCTCAATTTCCCCCTCTGTGAAGAGGAGGCGATAAAAGCACGTTATCCATGCGTGTGGTTGTGAGAACCCAATGGGATAAGAGGGTACAGACAACCCAATAACAAAATGGCAAAGACTGGGATAGGCATTTCTCCAGAGAAGGTATTCAAATGGCCAAGAAGCACATGAGAAGGTGCTCAGCATCACTTACCATCAGGGAAATGCAAATCAAAACCACAACGAGATACCACTTCACACCCATTAGGAGGGCTATTATTAAAAAGAAAACAATGTAGGCGGGGGTGTGGAGAAATTGTAACCCTTGTGCATTGGTGGTGGAAATGTAAAATGGTACAGTTGCTGTGGAAAACACTACAGTAGTTCCTCAAAAAATGTAACATAGACTTACCACATCATCCAGTAACCCCACTTCCGGGTATACACACAAAAGACCTGAAAGCAGAGAATCGCACAGATGTCTATACCCCTGGGTTCATTGCAGCATTCTCCACAACAGCCACAAGGTGGAAACAGCCCAAGTGTCCGTGGATGGATGGATGGATGGATAAACAGATGTGGGATACCCATACCATGGAATATTATTCAGCCTTAAAAAGGAAGGAAATTCTGACACGTGCTACAACGTGGATGAACCTTGAAGATGTGGCAAGTGCTTATAAGCCAGTCACAAAGATAAATACTGTATGGTTCCTAGAGTAGGTAAATTCCCAGAGACAGAAAGGAGAATGGTGCTTGCCAGGGGCTGGGGGGAGAGGAAATGGGAGTTATTGTTCAATGGATTCAGTTTCACTTTTGCAGGATGAAAAAGTTCTAGAGATGGATTGTGGTGATACGAATGTACCTAAAAATATGAAAGTACTTCATGCCACTGCACCTAACACTTAGAAGTGGTTAAAATGGTAAATTCGATGTTGTGTAGATTTCAATAAACAGAGGGGGTGGCCAGCACGGACAGAAGAGCCAAGTGCCGGAGGGCAGGCCTCCTTGTTGGCCAGACAGGGGAACCAGACAGAGGTGGGTGGGGAAAGGGAAGAGCTAGGTGAGGCTGTCCCCCAGGGGCCCTGGAGATGGCCTCACTGGCCACCGCGTCCCTCCTACCATCCTGGGGCCCCACAGGAGTGCCCTGGGCTCTCCATCTCGCTCCCCACAGCTGTTTCTGTTCTGCTTCTGGGGCTGGGGGAGTCCCTCATGTCCCACAGGAACGGCGCAGGCCGCCTGCTCTCGGGGGCACCTAGGCAGGCTCCCGGCCGTCTGTGGGTCTGTGGTAGGTGTGGGCAGGGATGACCCCATCCTCATCTCCCCATAAGCGCCTGAGGAAACCCTCTTTCCTGCTGCCCAGCACTGTTGCCCTTTCTAATCCCGGCTTCAGTGGATCCCCAGCTCAGACCCTTCCCACTCCCCTTGCGCCTGAACAGCATCCGCATTCCTCACTCCGGCTGCAAAGTGCCCGGCCACAGCCTCCCTGCCCACTCTTTCCCTGGACAGGTCCCCTCCCCTGCACAGGTCCAGTACTTTCCACCTTGGTTAGGTTTTTCCCTCTGCCGGGAATGGCCTGTCAAAATCCTGCCCATCTGCATCGTGCAGGTTACTCATGAATCATAAAAGGAATAACACTTCTCCAGCAGACGGATCCTTCAGCCGGTCGGCCATCCAGGCCTCAAGAACAGCGGACCGATCTGCCGGGGTGAAGGGGCCAGGGTGAAGGGGCAGGGGTGAAGGGGCCGGGGTGAAGGGGCCGTGGTGCGATGTGAAATCCCCAGTATTACTCATAATGGATTCTTGCCAAGAGCGTGCAGCTGGGAACTAATGGAGGCTGGAGAACCGACTTTCACTTTACAACAAAGACATAGGAGACGGAATAAATTAGACGACATCACAAGGAGATAATTAGATAAATTAAGAATGAGAACAGCGCGTAAGACAGCGGTGTGGACCCTTCAGAAAGTCAGTCATGAAAAATGTGCAGGGGGTCTATTGCAGACCAAAAAGAAATAACCGTACGCAATGCAGGAAACTAGATGGATCCTGGCTCAAAAAATAGAAGAGAGAAAGAAAGGGAGGGAGGGAAGAAAGAAGGAAGAAGGAAAAAGGAGGGAAAAGAAACTATAAAATACATTTTGGGGGCTGGCCCCATGGCCAAGTGGTTAAGTTCGTGTGCTCCGCTGCAGGCGGCCCAGGGTTTCGTTGGTTCGAATCCTGGGCGCGGACATGACACCGCTCATCAGGCCATGCTGAGGCAGCGTCCCACATGCCACAACTAGAAGGACCCACAACGAAGAATATACAACTATGTACTGGGGGGCTTTGGGGAGAAAAAGGAAAAAAATAAAAAATCTTAAAAAAAAAAAGAATGAGAGTGAAATAAAGTGTTTCTGAATACAAAAATAAAATAAAATAAAATAAAATACATTTCGGGGATATTGGAGAAATTTGGATATTAGCTGACATTACAGGCCATAGGAATTGCTGTTACTGTATTCGGTGGGGTGATAGCATCATATTTGTGTATTTGGTACCATGGAGATGCATGCTGAGGCATTCAGGGGCGGGGTCTCAGGCATCCATCATTTACTTTGAGAGGGCCTGGCAAAAAAAGATGAAGCCACGAAGGAAAAATGCTGCTCCCTGAATGCAGTTGGAGAAGGATGAGAGCTCTTTGTGTGGTTCCTTCTTCTTTACTGTTCAACATTTTCCAAAACGACAATGTGAGAGAAAGAAAGCACAACTCTGCCCACCTTCTGACTGAACATGGTCTGTCACTCCCACCTTCCTTAACTCCGGGACAAGAATAAAAGGCTGCTCCCTCCCCCAGGCCCACAGCCTCGGTCTCTTGTAAAACCTGTACCTTCTCTCTCCTACTGGCCCAGGGCTCCTTGGAGCAAGGGTTCTGGCTTCTCCACGTTTGGGGCCCCCGTCCCGTTGCAGTACCAGGCACACACCAAGGCCAACACAGACACTGACAGCTCCTGCGTGCCAGGCGCTATAAATGTCCTTAGCCTTATGAACTTCCCCAGGGGGTGACTTGCCGAGGTGGCTGTTAGCATCCCATTTCACAGATGCGGAAACTGAGGGTCAGCGGGTCAAGGAGCTTGCCAGGGCGATCCCTCTCGAGCAGTGGAGTCACACTTGCTCCAGGTCCGGCTGCCCTGAAAGCTAGTTCCTCTGTCTGAACCAAACCTGCTCTCAGTTGACCTTACCGCCCCGAGGAGCCGGGTGGGGGTGACCGTTCCAATTTTTTGGAGGAAGAAGTTGCACTAGAAGACGGGAGAGGACGTCCCCAAGGGCTGAACAAGGAAAAAAAGCAGAGCCGAGTTTTGTGGTTTGGCACCTGTCCCGTGCCAGGCTCTGAACTGGCACCTTATGGGCGTGAACCGATTCCATCCCAGGGATGTCACCTGGGGTCATGAGCCAGCTGGCTGGGGCAAATCCAGGCACCCCCACTTCCTGGCTGGTGATCCTCAGAAAATTCCTTCCCTTCTGCGTTCCTCAGTTTCCTCATCCATAAAAGGGACCATGATAAAGGCATTTTGCTCACACCCTGGGTTTGTAGTCAGTGCCCATCTCAGAGCGAGTGTGAGCCCAGAGCGGCGGGGAAGCTGCCCGAGAGCACACAGAAGCAGTGACAGGGCCGCCAAATGCCGGAGCCCCTACTTTCCAAATACAGGTTTCCCCCTGCTGTCAGCAAGGACAGCCGTCCCTAGGAAACCTTCCCAAGCCGAAAAGGCACAAAGCGAAGGAGCAGTTACCACCGACTTACCTGGAAAACTTTCTGAGCATTCCCAGACCCGAAAAATAAGCAACCAAGTGGCACCAAATCGCACACAAAACCCAAAACCCCCTCAGGAGCTCTCCCAGGCTTGTCTGACACCTTGGCACACATCTTGCTAAGGGATGCACAAAATAAGGCTA